CACTTCGTCGTCAAATCGGCCCAGTTTGTTGTCAGTCATTCCGAGGTTTAAGCCAAAAACAGGTGAAGATTTGACACCACTGGAGATGGGTGCGGTGATTGACAACTCACGTAGCATGATGCACCCAGATTTCGAGATCTGGCTTTTGGCTCCACCCACTTGCTGTGTTTTTGTTTGGTTGGCTACACATACTAATATCTTTGCCCATATGTTTTAATGCCTGTAATATGTTTGTGGGTTTTTTTTCGCCGACTTTCAGTATGTTTTCAAGAATTTTTTTCATTAATATTTAAAGGCCTTAGTTTGTGTTTTCGATTGGGTTTTTTCGCCGACTTTCAGTATGTTTTCAAGAAAGAAAACATGTGTTTTTCTTAAAGCAATTTAAAGCACTTTTCCTTATGTCACTGAGAATAGGAGCCCACAGTTAGCGCATATCTTACGTCTGAACTTACATGGTTTGATCCAATCAAAAGACAGTTTTGTAACAGAATAACCCGGTGCGTAATTCCTGCTAAATAATCTTACAGCTTAGAAAGGGTCCATGAGACATTTAAAAATGCATTCCCCAGAGCACGCAGTACAGAAAATATCCGTTATGGCTGAAGTATTTTTCTGTCGAAGTAACAACTAGAATGTTGCAATCTCGCCACAGCCAGGGGTACAGTACCCAGTGTCATGCTGATGTTCGTGTTTCCTTGTCATTGGCACATTGGAATTTTGGGGGGTTTCGGGGTTTTTGTTTTAGTAAGGTTTTACGGCGCTCGCAACTGTATAAGGTTATATGAGCGCCAAGAGGTGGATGTCAACAGAGAAGTCCAAACAGGGAATCAGGCTTACTCTGCTCACCTCTCTTGCCTCAACAGCACAAAGTCTGCTTCGACTATCAAGGCTCCCCGGAAATAGCAGTTCACGAGAGAGTGACTAACGTACAAAAGAAGTAGAGGAAAACTGATGATAGTAAGGATGAGAAAAGAAAAAGCAGCTGTTCCCCGTATGTTGTTCCGGCACATGACATTGACAAATCAGCCCATTTATAATTCTACTGTGCAAAGGAACGAGAAATGTCCCCCCCCCCCCTTTGGGGATGGCCTAAAGATACTTCAGATAGTAGCACTGCCCTGAGTGGGGGGGGGGGGTGCTGATGTTCATTTTTACTTTTCTGGAGCACTTTGGAATGTACTGTGTTGTTCAGGTGTTCGCACTGTTTTAATAGGTTTTGTTTCCTTTTTTTATATGTTTGTTTTGAGGTGGGTTTACGACTGTTGCTTTTCTTTTCTTTTTTTTTTTTTTTTAAACGATGAGGTCGGTTTTGGGAGACACACATGTGTATAACAGACAGTTTTTGTGAGAAAACGGGGTTTTTTAAATTTCCTTTTCTAAAAGAATTTAAATCAGCACAATGTTTGTGTGTTCGTGATATGCACTATGATTGTGGAACTCACTTTTACTTTGGTGACAGCTTAATTAAGACAAAGTGGGCACTTCTAACTGTCTCGTTGTTGCATTAATGTAGGGCTGGGTGTATTAGTTATTATCATGCCTCAAAAACAGAAATTAGAAGTTTTAAAAATGTATCTATTTATTCATTTTTCAACTTAGACATTCTAATGTGTTCACTCAAAGCTATACACGTTTAGATACATTTTCAAGCATTCGTTTCTTATTTGTATCTGTAAATTTCAAACTGATTTGTTCTCTATCTTATAGAATGCGTATACTTTTTATATACATATATAATGCTTTGATACAGAGTGGAAAAAAATGGATGGAAGGTGGGGG